GCACACAGTTGTCACATTGATGCCATCTCAACACTAGGTTATATTGAATTCCATCAGAATTGTTGATCCTAGCAGGCAACTAATCTCTCATATAAATGAACAATTTTATGATGACCATTGACCACTATTTGGCTGTTCACATAAGTTATAACAAGTCTGTTTTTCTCTACGCTCATGCTCAAGTAGTCAAGTGTGAGATCCCATTAATGTGAAATCGAGTACTCCTATTTCATTTCACATCTCATGCTGCAAGTTTTTAATTGCTCACTTATTCTCACATCATTTTTTTTTAATCTCAGTCAAATTGGGTATTGGAGGGTTTAGTATGGGTGCAGCAACTGCTCTGTACTCAGCCACATGTCACGTTTTTAGCAAATATGGGAACACTAACCCATATCTGGTTAACCTAAGCTCTGTAGTCGGCCTTAGCGGCTGGCTTCCATGTGCCAGGTAATGTTTACTTTTATGTAAACCAATACATATACGCAGCAATCAGCATGGCCTCGATGATCATTAGTTGTTAGTTTGCACTCAACGGCTAATTTGTTTTTTTAGGACACTAAAGAACCGAATCCAAGAATCAAGTGAGGCTGCAGAGCGTGCAACATCATTGCCCATTTTACTATGTCATGGCTCTGGTATATCGTTTTATTTAGGAAAAAGCAATTTACGATCTGCCGAGGGGTTTGACTAAGCTTGTCTAGAAAATTCTTTTTATACATTGTTTTTTCTAGAGATTTTTTAGAGCTTATTGGATACATTTCATATTGTGTCAGTCATTAATTTTGTCAAATTGCATGAGGTAGTCTAAGGCTATGTTTGGTAGCCAAATAAGCTAACTTAATTTGGTTATTTTATAAGCTTCCAGTATTCAAATAAGTCTCGTTTGGTAGGACGAGCTTTTTTAAAAAACTCGAGTTTATCTGATAAGCTTCTTTAGGTAGCTTTTCAAATAAGCTAGTTGAATTTTTTATTTCAGCTAGCTTATCAGCTAATTTTACCAAATACTTTTATCATATAAGCTAGTTTTTCAGTTATAAGTCATAAATATAAGCTATAAGCTCGAAAATTACATATAAGCTATAAGCTAGCTTATCAGCTATCATCTAGTTTTACCAAATATAGCCTAAATAAGATTCTTCTTCCTATTATTATT